GGGCAACTTGGCGAGACCTCATCTCTACAATAAATCAAAAATTAGCTGGGCATGGTAATATACGCCTGTAGTTCTGGCTACTTGGAAGGCTGAGGCAGAAGGATCGCTGGAGCCCCTCAGGTTGACACTGGGGTGGCCTTGAGCATGCCACTGCACTTCAGCCTGGGCAACAGAGTGAGACTCCAACTCAAAAAAAAAAAATCATGGCCAGGCTCGGTGGCTCAGCTTGTAATCCCAGCGCTTTGGGAGGCCGAGGTGAGCGGATTGCCTGAGCCCGTGGGTTCGAGACCTGCCTGGGCAACTTGGCGAGACCTCATCTCTACAATAAATCAAAAAATTAACCGGGTGTGGTAGCGTGCACTTGTAGTTCCAGCTACTCGGAAGGCTGAGGCGGAAGGATCGCTGGATCCCAGCAGGTGGTGAGGTGACAGAGTGAGACCCCAACTCAAAAAAAAAAAAATCATATCAGAAACCTATTCTATTTGGCTATTTTTGTTGCAATGAAAATAGCCACACACTAATCTGTCTTTTCCTCATTCTTCAGAGTTAGAAATTTGTCAGTTCTACACTTTTTCATTCTACTCTACTATCTGATGTTCACATCTCTAAACTCCATGTCTCATATATTACTTTCATGTTTTTATCTGCAGTTGTCTCCAACTTTTATTGGCACATACCTTTTGTGTTAGGAAATGTGTGCTGATTTTTAAACTGTCCCTGAGAACAGCTGCTGTGTTTTAGTCATATTTTCTTGGTCCTGAACATATCCCTCTATATAGCACTCACATATCAGCAGGTAAGGTCCTGCAGACAAGTTGTTTGTAGAGGCAGGATTTGTGGACCCTGTTTCTACTCCCTGGGTTGCATATATGGTTGTGCCTTTCACATCATGAGGCCTCCTACATTCTGTGATGTTCATAACCCAGTAATGTTAAGCAATGTCATCTTCATCCTGAAGCTAACATTCTATCCCTGCAATTATTTCAATGGAGTAATTCCTTGGTTTGTCAGACACACTTGTGGGTGGGCTGTGCCTTCCTACCAGAGTTACCTTGCACTTCACCAGCATTTTCTTGCTTTTAGGTTGTTGGTGTGGAGCTGAAGATGAGTAGGCACCTTTTAAGCAGACCATTTCTATGCATAAAGAGTCTCAGGTCAGGACTTCTAGGGCAAGTGTGTCTCCCAAGAAGTCCTACCCCTGTGAAATGAGTGGCTCAATATTGGGAGATGTTTTGCATTTAGTTGATCACCAGGGAATACACGGCAAGCAGGAAATGAACAGGTATGGGGCATATAGGAATAAGTTACATGATAGTACAAACCTTTATCAGCACCAGAAGCAGCACAGTGGAAAGAAACCCTATAGAGGCACTGTTGGGGGAGCATTGTTTGTGAAGAGCTATAAATTTCATGTGTCATGGGAGCCAGTTACCATTTGTGAAGTTGGGAAGGACTTTTTGCCCAACTGTGGATTACTCCAGCAAGAGACCAGTCACACTGGGGAGAAGTCAAACAACAAACTTGAGTGGGAGTCACCCTTTCAGGGGAGGTAAATCTCATTGCAGTTGAGGAGAATGTGTGAAAGTCATCAGCAGCAAACACACATTTGTTCAGTACCAGAGACTTCTCACTAGAGAAGAATGTTATGTATGTAATGATTTTGGGAAATCCTTTACCAAATATAATCGCGCCAATCATCACCAGAGAGTTCACACTGAAAAAAGACCTTACGAATGTAAAGACTGTGGGAGATCTTTTAGTCATAGGGGCAAGCTCACTCAACATCAGCGAGTTCACACTGGAGAAAAACCCTATAAATGTGGAGAATGTGGGAAATCTTTTAGTCAAAACGGCACCCTCATTAAACATCAGTGAGTTCACACTGGAGAAAGACCTTATGGGTGTGGAGAATGTGGGAAATGTTTTACTCAAAAAGGCAATCTCATTCAACATCAGCGAAGTCACACTAGTGAAAGACCTTTTGAGTGTTCAGAATGTGGGAAATCTTTTAGTAAAAAGTGTACCCTCATTAAACATCACCGAGTTCACAGTAGAGAAAGACCTTATGAGTGTTTAGAATGTGGGAAATCTTTTAGTCGAAAAGGACACCTTAGGAAACATCACCAAGGTCACACTGGAGAAAGACCTAATGAATGTGGAGAATGTGGGAAATCTTTTAGTCAAAAAAACAACCTCATTCAGCATCAGCAAAGCTATACTGGAGAAAAGCCTTATGAGTGTAGGGAGTGCGGGAAATTATTTAGGTGCAAGTCCCATCTTGTTGAACACCGGAGAGTTCACACTGGAGAAAGGCCATATGAATGCAGTGAATGTGGGAAGTCATTTCACCACAGCTCTGGGCTCCGTGTTCATCAGAAAGTTCACACTGGAGAAAAGCCTTATGAGTGCAGTGAATGTAGAAAATCATTTCATCGCAGCTATTCCCTTCTGCAACATCAGAGAGTTCACACTGGTGAAAGGCCTTATGTGTGCAGAGAATGTGGGAAATCATTTCATCAAAACTCTTCCCTTCTTCGACATCAGAAAACTCAAAATGGAGAAAGACCTTATGAGTGCAGGGAATGTGGGAAATTCTTCTTCAGTCTCATTGAACACAGGCGAGTTCACACTGGAGAAAGACCTTATGAGTGTAGTGAATGTGGAAAAAAGTTTACTTGTAGGTCTGCACATTTTAAACATAAGAGGCTTCACACTAGAGGAAAGCCTTATAAGTGTGATGAATGTGGGAAATCCTTTACTGAAACCTTCGGTCTTGCTGAACACAGGAGAGTTCACACTGGAGAAAGGCCTTATGAATGCAGCAAATGTGGAAGATAATTTTATCGAAGCTCTTCTCTCCTTCGACATCAGAGAATTCACACTGAAGAAAGTCCTTATAAGTGAAAAAAGTTTAGACAGTTCTTTAGCCAAACTTCTGTGTTCCTTCATGATCAAAGAGCTCAGCCCACCGTGGGTTTGAGACCTGCCCGGGCAACTTGGCAAGACCTCATCTCTACAATAAATAAAAAATTAGCCGGGTGTGGTAGTGCACACCTGTAGTTCCAGCTACTTGGAAGGCTGAGGCGGAAGGATCGCCGGAGCCCAGCAGGTCAAGGCTGCATTGGCTGGGAGCGGTCACTGCACTCCAGTCTGGGTGACAGAGTGAGACTCCAACTCAAAAAAAAAAGCTCAGCTCAATATTGCCTTTCTAGACTCTGGTATGGCCATGTACTCTTTGGGCTATGCTTCCTGGCTTTGGCCCCCTCCCCCACCTTGGGGAGGTGATTCTTCTCCCTTCTCTTTCTCGCTCTAATTTATTTTTAAATAAACTGTATTTTTAATCTAAAAAGAAAGATCAATGAGCTCACACTAGAACAAAGCCTTGTGAGTATGACAATGTGGGATATTCTTCATCCAAAAGGCTAGCTTTATTGTGCATAGTTGATCCTCCACTGTAGAAGTGCCTTTTGAGTGCAGTGAATGTGAGAAACCCTTCAGCCTTCTTTCACTGGATATCAGAACACTCACATGGGAGAAACACCATAGATATACAGGAAATATTATCTCTTGTTCAGTATAACAGTAGAGGAGATCCCTTATGAGGGTGCCATCTGCCAGAATTGAATGTCATGCATCGAACCTCTGTGTAAATTCCAGGTATGTGGGAGATGCATTACATTTTTCATCCTGCTCAGGTCCCCTGCCAGAGTTATATGACTGCCAGTTTGTTGGCAAAAGCCATTTTGCCTTTACCACTTGGCAGGTGCCCACAATGCATCATTCACTTACCCCATTATGTTCTAGAAGTAAACCTCAGTTGTATGTCATTTGCCAGAGGGATTCGTGAATAGTGTCAGCGCTCCTCCCTTTCTCATTTCTTTCTGATAAGTTAGACCATGAACCTGACTCAATATTGGCCCAGAGGAGTCTTCTGTTGACTTGAAAAGATGGGCTCTATTTTTCAGGGATCTTTGGAGTCTCCCATGATTTTTCATGGTGTTTTCCAGCCTCCAGGTCACTAACCCAAGAACAACTAGCCTCCTATTGCTGTGGTTTGTGCTATGATTAGGCCTTATTATTTAAACCTCCTTCAGTCTTGGGAGTTGTATTCACTGTATTGGGTGGTTGGGAAACAACTGGATTATGGTGCCGTGAAGTAAGTGTTGAACAGCATTTGTTGGGATCACTAAACATTGTATGCCTCAGAGGGGACAGCATGATGGCAGAACACAGCCCTCTCCACTTGGGGCCTAGTTTGCATAGCTGCCTAAGGCCTCCAAGAAAAGACTTAAGGTGTGTGATCCTTATTTGTAGGTCGGATCCTGTGATAATTTATGTCTTTATAGGTCATTCTGAATAGGAGCAGTATTTGTGACATCCCCTGGTGCTTCTGAGAACGACATAAAATTCTTTGCTCTTTTCCAAGGGATACTGTGTTTAGTACTGGTGAGGGAAATCTTCCTCAGGTCCTGCAACACAGATATGTTCCCTGATGTCCACATTTCTGTAGGGTAGTATAAAAGGTTGTAAGAAATAGGGAGAAATTGGGTGTGGTGGCTTATGCCTCTAATTCTTAACTCTTTGGGAGGCTGAGGCAAGAGGATTGCTTGAGGCCAGGCGTTTGAGACCAGCCTAGGCAACATAGCAAGACCATGTCTCTACAAAAATAATCGAGTGTCATGGCATGTGCCTATAGTCCCAGGTATGTGGAAGGCTGAGATGGAAGGATCACCTGAGCCCAGAAGGTCAATGCTGCAGTGAGCCTGGCTGACAGAGTAAGACTCGACTTAAAAAAAAAGGAAGGAAAAAGAAATAGGAAATCATAATTTTGTAGAATTATTGTATTAATTAGCAGTGCAGGAGACTGTACTAAAATATTTTGTATGCATCTTTTAAAAGGGCACCCACAATGATCCAGTAATTGTGTCTGTGATGGATATGCAGTACAGAAATTCTCAGGACTTTCCCTTAGTTATGAATCTTGTGTAGGTGATTCCATTATCAGAGGAAATAATCTAAAGGATTCCTTTAGCCTTTCTCTGCTGTAAACCTCAAAGTCATTCTTGCATTGGCAGCAGGAAGAGGGTGGGAGAAGGGGGATTTCTTTTTCCTTTTTTTGAGTTGGAATCTCACTCTGTCGCCCAGGCTGAAGAGCAGTAGCACGCTCACGGCCACCCCAGCATCAACCCTCTGGGCTCCGGCGATCTTTCCACCTCAGCCTTCCCAGTAGCTGGAACTACAGGTGCATGCCACCACACCCAGCTAATTTTTGATTTATTGTAGAGATGAGGTCTTGCCAGGTTGCCCTGGCTGGTCTTGAACCCGCAGTCTCAGGCAGTCCATTTGCCTTGGCCTCCCAAAGTGCTGGGATGACAGGCTGAACCACTGAGCCCGGTGAAGGGGGATTTCTTAGTCCAGTGATGTGGCCTTTGTGACCAGCCAGCATTCCAATTTAATCAGATTGAAACAGCATTCCTGGCTCATCAGTATTTGCTGCTGTGTAGGCTAGTTGCCCCCCACAGAGTACGAGGAAAGTTGGTAAAGTCAGTATAGAATTGTCAAGCTTATTTGTCAAAATTAATAGAAAATTCACATTTTTCTTTCAAACTACAACTTTAAAGGTATAATAAGGTATAAGTGATCCACCAAACTGCACATACTTAAACTACCATTTTATAAGTTTAAACTTTCATATAAACCCATGAATCTGTCACAGTCACAATAATGAACTTACATCACCTTCCAGTTTACCTGGAGCCTTTTATTAATTAATTAATTTTAGGGGCAATGTCTTGTTCTGTTGCCCAGGCTGGAGTGCAGTGGCACAGTCATAACTCACTGCAGCCTCAACCTCCTGGGCTTAAGTGATCCTCCTCCTAGCTGAGACTACAAGTATACACCACCATACCTGGCTAATTTTTATTTTTATTTTTTTTGTAGAGACAGTGTCTTGCTATGTTGCCCAGGCTGGTCCCGTACTCTTGGGCTCAAGCGATCTTGCCTCCCTGCCTTCCAAAGTGCTGGGATTACAAGTGTAAGCCACTGTGCCTGGCCTTATATTTTTTTAAGAGACAGGTTTCACTCTGTCACCCAGGCTGGAGTGTAGTGGCACAGTCATAGCTCCTTGCAACCTTGAAGTCCTGGGCTCAAGGAATTCTTCCACTTTAGCCTCCCGAGTAGCTGTGACTTCAGACACATGCTACCTCCCCCAGCTCTCTCCCCCTCCCTACCTCCCTCCAGAGAGCAATTGATTTACTATACTTTAACATAGATTACAATACTAGCTTTTTAGTAATGTGTTTCTGCCCTCCCTACCCTCCAGAGAGCAATTGATTTACTATGCTTTAACATAGATTACGTTTTCTGGAATTTTATTTTATATGACTGATAGATTGTATCCTCTTTTCACCTCTGGGTGTTCTGTATCATATTTCTTTTGATGTTTATCAGTGATAATATGATTAGTTCAGTCTTTTTTATATTGAGAAGTATGACATGCTATGAAATATCAGTGTTTTTATATTCACTTGTGTTTATGGATATTTGAGCTGTTTGTTTTTGTTGTAAATACTGCTACAAATATGATTCTTCAGATCCATGGGTTTTACTTATGTTAATATTTCCATGTACAGTGCTTAATTCACATCGTAGGTGAATGTATAACATTTTAAGAAATGCCAAACTGTGACCTAAAATTAAAATGGTAGCTCCCTTTTATGTTCTACCACCAGTGTCTGAGAATTCCTGTTTTCCTATATTCTTATGAAGAGAGGATACGGCCTTTAAAAATAAGTGGGTATTTTTGGGGGGGTAAAGTGTTTATTCATATCTTTAGTTTGCATTTTAAAATAAATGTTGTCTATTTCCTATTTCATTAAAACTAAGCAAATAGTGAGTCAACAGATCCTACTGTCAGACTATATTCATTCTGCAATAATGTAACTTATTTGCTGTAAGGAATACTTGTTAATTAATACCGCAAGTGCTGTGAGTTGGTCATCTATTTTGTGTGGAAGAATAAGTGTCCCAAGATGACAGTGTTTATAGATTCTAGTGCAATGAAACAAATACAATGCCACTATGAGTTTTTTTCCCCATTCTTCATCTTTCTGTAATATCCTTCATAATGAACAGGTACACGTTTCCCTGAGTTCCATGAGCCACTCCAAACTAACTAAGCCATCAAACACAAAGAGACATGTGGAAACCCCACCTTGAAGCTGGTCAATCAGAAGTTCTGGAGGCCTGAACTTGTGACTGATGTCTGAGGGCAAGGTATTCTTGGGGCCTAAGCTCTTAACTTGTGAGATCTGAAGCTGTCTCCAGGAAGGATGCCAAGTTGGAGTCCTTTGCTTGTTGATGAGGAATTCTCCCCCAATTTTTGTGACAGAAGTCTTTTGGGAGAATTGCAGTGTGGCAGCAGAAGAAAAACATGGTTTGAGGTTTATAAAAAGGTACTGGCTTCCTGTTCCAGGGACAGGTGGAGTCATTCACTGCTGGTACTGCTACTGCTGCCACCACCCCTCAATCCAGTTGCGCCTGCTCCTTCAGTGTCCAGACTCTTGGATCCATTGCTGCTTCTAGACCCTGGTGTGGTCTTGGATTTTTGCTAGGAAATTGATGAGTTTTTGTTGCCAGATGTGCTACATGAACAATCCCCACCAAAACCTCTGCTGTGAGCAGTACTGAGCAATGCAAAACCTGGCCAACCTCCTCAAGCCAGGCCAGGTTCCAAACCTTGGAATAACTCAAGTGCTCCATCTTCAGTGCTTTCAGGACTCCCACTGAGCGCAATACTCTCACTGTGTCTTTTGGACTCGTACCAACTGATATTTATCCCTCTGCCTCCCACTGGGCTACCTCCAGGCCCCCCCCCACCTGGTGGTCCTTATCCAGCCCCAACT